ACACACTTACAGTGTACCTACTTGGGGTTTATGTTTTCTCCCTGGTCCTGCAGAGTTGCTAAAACATCTCCACCATTCAGGACGAGGCGAACCTTCTCATCCTTGTCGTCAAACTCCACCAACATGTATTCAACCTAAAAGCAAAACGATCAAAGACAGAATTAGACAAATACTGTATTTAAAGTACTTGCCTGATTTTTTTTTTTTTTTTTTAAATAAACACCAGACTTTCCATCGGCGCTATAGATGCCATCACATCAATTCCAATTCATCAGTTACATTTCCTTGACTTTTGACTCTGCTACCCTGTAATCCCCTGTCTGAAAGAGGGATTAATCTATAACAACAGCATTCCACATGGTTTGAAATCAAAATACTTTGTTCAAGCTGTACAGATTTTTGTGGCTGGTGACGGATGAAGAGATGTGAAGTTTTGAATGAAAATGTAAGAAAACCACAGCGAGCAACAGACAAACCCACATACATTGCATAGTAGCCATTAAGTTACCCACCCACCCATCCGCTTCCGCTTATCCTTTTCAGGGTCGCGGGGGGCGCTGGAGCCTATCCCAGCTGTCATAGGGCGAAAGGCGGGGTACACCCTGGACAGGTCGCCAGTCTGTCGCAGGGCTCCATTAAGTTACCATCCACACAATAAGGAGTGTCCTCATGTGGTAGCAGGCATGCCAGCAGTGTAAGCAGTAAGGGAAAATAAATGAGTGTTGGACCACCACCAGTGACAAAGCTGGACTTCTGTTTTGTCATGTTTTTTGCTCACGGCTCTCTTCAACTCTTATTCAACGCTCCCCAACACCTGACTTAAAAGTCAAAACTGGCTCCATGGTTACGGCCTTGTCATGTCAATAAACTCAAACATGCTGGGAATTACATTGCTTCACATATTGCAAGGAGGCCAAACTAGTTTTACATCGGGGCCCATATACAGCTGCCGGAGCGGTTGGTGCAAAGAAGCACAATTTCAACAAGCACATCTTGGTTTTTCTACACGATAAAGAAATGTCTAAAATTGCTGCCCATAAAGCAGGAAACCTTTTCTTTTAATTTACAGAAAATGTCCTGCTTTATTTATTTTATGGTGGACACATGAAAAACTGAAAATTCTATATCAGACAAACACGAACTTTTCTGTCATTTAATTGTTTATCTATTACTTAATTACTTGTGTGTAGGCAGAGTAGGGCAAGCTGTAATATATGTAAAAATACAGTTAAAAGTCCAAAACTTATGCCTTCCTTTGAAATTTTCTAAATATGGCCAGAGGGTCGGATTGGAGTCTTTGCCTGGCCAATTCTGGAACCCGGGCCTTATGTTTGCCACCGTTGGTATACAGTATCAAAGAGCTGCAGGATTTGTTGCAGTTACATGTGTATGTGCTGCAGTCGGTCAAGGTGCGCGCACACACACACACACACTTAATTAGTCTCTATCAACACAGGACCACTGTTGCATCATGCCCAGCCGCATTACTAATAGATTAAAAGCATTAACAGACAACACCAGCATTAATATTATTCCACAATCCTTACCTCATCGCCCCACTTTAGCACATCTTTCTGACGATCCTTCAGTTTGTTGTAGATGTTGAGAAACTGGATGATACCGTGTTTTCTAATGTGGTCAGCATACTTTCGGGTTTCTTCCCAATTCAGTGGAGATCCCTGTGACAGTAGACCCATCGCACACGCTGACCGCAGGTATAAAGTGACCGCTGTTCGGCTCTTGCTGCCTGCTTTCTATTTAAACGGCACGCCGGGCAATAGCTAGCTAGCTCGTCTGTCCAGGTGGGAGAGCTCGCATGAAGCGTCGGTTAAAACAAGCGGCAGAGTATGGAGGGTTTTCAGCAGAGCCGCGGGCTGAATGAAGGATCTCTTGGGGCTTCTAAGCAACAACGTGCCCTGTCGGTAACCTCAGCTGGACGTCCAAAAGAAACAGGCCCCTGCTCATCACTTGCTAATGCCTCGTTAGCTCGGTACCGTGAGTTAATAACTCCGCACCCGCTGCTAAACGGACGACTTAGTGCCTGGTGACACCAGTTCGGTAAACAGCTACGGACTGAAGCCAGTAAAAGCGCAGCTATATGGGGGGGGAATGACAGCGACGTGCGCCGGTAGAGAAGTCTGTGTTTCGGAACCACTCTGCCGCACGCAGTCGCTCAGTGTTGTTCATATGAACGCCCTCCTACTTCAACACACGTGACATCTTCAGGCGGAGCGTAGCGTGGAGTTGCGTCACTATGACTCAGCAATCTTCGCTTCGAGTCTCCGCCCACCAAGCCGTCAATCATAGCGAGCACCAGGGCACGTTCAAGAGCGAGATGCCGTAGATATAACATTCGTCCATATTACAGTTTTTCGCAAATGCTAAAACAGATTTCACAAACGTTTCCACCATGTTCCCCAGTGTCTAAACACAACACCCTTTTCTAAAGCTACATAAATACAACCACACCTTCCCACTGCAAAACTCAAACTTTCACACCAAAAGAGCAGCTTGAAGCTTTCAAAGAATGTAAACACTATACACATCATTACACACTACAGCAAAACAATTGAAAACACAATGCTCAATTTGTGAAAAGGGTCTTTGTTTCATAACTGCCAATGCATATTTTTTATAAACCATACAGATTGTTGTAGATCTCTGCAGAGGATTAGGCATTTAGATTTGTGAGTTTCATATGAAGAGTATAAATCTATAGAAAATCCTGCATGTACGTACACTACTGTAACACAACTGAATGCAAAAACAGAATCTATTGTACACAACAGTACTCCTGAAAACATGATCAGGGTGTGAAGCTTTTGGTTTTTTTTTTAAATTTATTATTATTTTTTTATTTACATTATTCACACCACAATCACTGTGCGGCATCATGTCGCTGAGCTGCATTGGGCCACATCACCTCACCCACATCGCAGGCTATATTGTCTTTTGCCAGGCACCGCAGGAAAAACGCCCTGGAATGGCGAATCCATCCTTGGAAGGCCTCCGCTGGGATGTCAACACAGGCCAGCTCCATTGCCCTTAGGAGGTTCTCTCTTGTGTATGGTTGTCTGTCATAAACCTTCCATCTCCACGATGAGAAGAACTCCTCTATAGGGTTCAGGAAAGGGGAGTAAGGTGGCAGACAGACGTTTAAAAAGTGGTCACCGTTGGTGGTGAACCACTCTCCGATTTGGTTTGTTCTGTGGAAGCGGACATCGTCCCAAATGATCACAAATGTGAAAGTGCACAGGTGTTCAGAACAACATTCAATCAGGTAGCACAGTATTGTCCAGAAGTAATGTAGGCCACTGAGCAACACAATATGTCCACTAACTGTACTGTTAACATGGATGTATACTTACTTGCACATACTCGTAACGTAGGTCTTTGTGTCGCGCAGAGTTGCACTCAAAGGGAACCCTATAGACCTGTTTCATCCGCGTCTTATTGCGCCGGAGAACTCGATCCATTGTGGCCAAGCTGACATCGTCAATGCTCTCAAAGTTGACATTATCGGCAATGACTTTGTCTCTGATCTCCCAGAGTCTGATGAGGTTGTTCCCAGAACCATATCCACAATGAGGGTTTCTTGTGCCGCTGTAAATATGGCAACCCTCCCACCTCTATGTGGCATTCTTTCAACTCTAAAGAAAGAAACATGTGTTGTCAATTGACATGTGTTACAATACAGTCACAATTGATATGAAACCAATAGACTACTTTCACAGGTTTGTAAAACTGTATTGTGACAAAGAAAGCAATCGAGTACAATACCTATTGTGTTGTCTGAATGCCCTGATAATGGTGGCCACGGTGAACCTACTCAGGTTTGGACGGACTCTTAGTCCTGCTTCAGCCATTGTCATGCCATGGACAATGACACGGTCAATGACTGTTGCTCGCATCTCATCCGTAAAGATGGTGCGAGGTTGTCTTGCTCCTCCTCCTCCTCCAGGGCCAGCTCCTCCTCCTCCAGGGCCAGCTCCTCCTCCTCCAGGGCCAGCTCCTCCTCCTCCAGGGCCAGCTCCTCCTCCTCCAGGGCCAGCTCTTCTTCCAGGGCCAGCTCTTCTTCCAGGGCCAGCTCTTCTTCCAGGGCCAGCTCTTCTTCCAGGGCCAGCTCTTCTCCCTGCTCTGCATCAAATTCCTCTTCCCCTGACTCTGCCTTCATCCAGTGTGTTTGCTTGACCTCTTCAGCATACTGTGCACTCTGAACTTGCTTTTATACATGTGGTCACAGCATTAGCAACAGGTGTCTTCAATTTTGAGTCGTTGTGTGTAATGAATGACGCCAGGTGTGTTCATTGTGTTCAAATATTGCTGACTGTGGCAAGCATGTTGCATCACATGAGCTTTCATTTGAGAATATGAGCAGAGTTCTTTTGCAACTTGTGTTTTAGCAAGGAAAGATGTGTTTAGATTTATGACAACGGAGGATTGTGTTCTGTGAATTGTGTCTTCATGTGTTTATGATATTGGTAAATGATGGCTAGATTTAGTAAATGTGTTTAGACAACTGGTCATTTGGTTTAGAGGACTGGCTTTTGTGTTTTAGCATTTGAGAAAAACTGTAAAATACTTTAATAATTGAAAAATTATTTTTTATTTCTAATTTTAAGATTTTATTTTAGTTTCATTTAAAAGAAAAACAAGCTACACAAAGAAGAAGAAAAAAAAATACCATGACAGTGAGCAACACCAAAATAATCAAAGAACTTATTTAAGAAGGTCTATTTTTTTCTATAGGGTCATCGGTGAGGCTCCACAGGCAACGTCTTTCATCCTCTGTGTTTCTAGCCAGGAACAGATTTACATGGAAGATTTGGTTTATTCTTATATGAAAAAAGAGGGTTATTACATTAAGAACAATGACTATTAAAGACAAAATATCATTTTGCCAGAGTAAATGTGCCTCCTTGTATACACAGAACACAAAATAAAAACACTGTTGTTTATCTGACATAAGGCAAGCTTTTCGTTTCTTTAGTTTTTTGGTTTCATGTTCGTTTGGAGTTTTCTGATTATTGGCTCCCTCTTTGTTTTTGTTTTTTAAAGTAAAGAATAGTATGAGGAAGACTACGGAAGACAAAATCAAAAGCAGCCATGTCCTGTTTGTTTGTTTTTGCAGGGTAACTTATTTACCCTTAGTTTCCACAGCACTAAAATGAACGAGTCATGTTTAGGGTAGAGTGTTCATACTAAGGCAAATTTGCAAAAGTAAATGTAATAATGATACAGCACTCTCGTGAGAGGGCGAGGATAGGCCTATATGCATGAGTTGACAAAATAGCTTGTAGGGTTATTACACTCATGGCCAAATAAGGATTTAAGGATGTGGTTTAACCAAACACAATCGACTGCTCGGGTCACACCCCCTCTGTGTCGATAAAACCTGCACAGTCACTTAGAGGCAATCACTACAAGCGATGTCACTGTCGATGTAATGTTTTTGCCCAAATATTAAGAGTTTCTTAAGTTTTATTCACAAATATATAGTAAAATACATTTGTGAGACTCGGTTTACAGCTTGTTTAAATACATGTGGGTTGTTTAACACATTCTCCACGTGTATGGTTACATACTTATATAATAATTATTTTGTCTCGTTTGTTATATTAATTACTTGTTTCTTCTTTTTTGAGTGTCTGGAAAGCAAAAAGGTGTGGCAAAGGCTGGAGGATTGTGAAGTACTGCAGCTAGATTATAAAGATTAGATTATTAAGCCAAAGCATGTGCTGCCACTGTATGGGGTTTAGAGAGGTTAGGAGAGGGTGGAGAGCTCCCACTGCCCCCCCAAGAGCACAAGGCAACGTTAAAAACAACCATTCAGACTTTCTGTTTGAATTGCTGTTGTCTTCAGGCAGAAGTTTTAGGACATCAAAGATAAGGACAAACATATTATAGATAAGTTTCCAAAAACCACTAAACCACTTCAGTTACACTAAACTCTGCTGGAGAATGACTCATGTGATCAATGGTCAGGGAGACTTTCACTGTATATTGTTTTCCGTGTATGTGCAGAGATTCAAAATGATGTGTCAAAGACATTGCAAACATCATGGGACCTATAAAGACTGAATTAAGACCAGAAACAAAAGGTGCACGTCTCTTTCATATTTTAGAAGACAGGAATGCCGCTTTACTAATCCAGCCAGTTTACCAACGATGCTGTGAAAACCACACACTACTAAATCCCGCTGATAATCATTCAATTTAAGGTTTGTACCGTCAAACAATCCAATTCAATTTTATTTATGAAGCATTTCTTTTTTAAAAACAACAGACTTTGACAAAGTGGTGTACAAAGCACCAAAACAACACAATAAAACAATAAAAACATTAATAATTACAAGATAAGTAAACACCACTCTCATTCTCAGTAAAAGCCAAAGAGTAAAAATGAGCTTTAAGACGTAGTTTTAAAACAGGCAACGAGGGGACCGATTCTAAATCGGGCAGGGAGATTGTTCCAAAGTTTGGGGGCTATAGCTGAAAAAGCTCAATCGCAGCTGTTTTTCATTTGAGTTTTTTGGGACTAGCAGGCCTCAGTGACCTCGAGGGGACATATGGAGTCAACAGCTTAGATATTTGAGCAAACTCACAGCTAGTTTGGAAATAAGACATTGTGCTACAGGCAACGTAGATGAGCATGTCATATGCCTAACTAAGGGCTTGTCATAAAGGCCAGTGTGACTTTACAGACTTAACAGTGAAATATTCAAGTTATGAAATCAGTTCTCTTCATCAGCTTTTGACTGTGAGTTATGATCTCTTATCTTATCAAGTTACGCTCTGTTCAAACACATTCTACTTTTGCTTCCATGTGAGCTCTTTGTGCTAATGCCACTTTTAATGCACATGTTAGCCAAGTTTTGCTGTAATACTTGCAGATGGTGCCCACCAGTTTCTGACTCATAAATTCAAACTTTATGAGTTGTATTGAAAGGTCATTGGACTTTTCAGCCCAGTTACAAAGAACAGAAAGCTGTAAATGCACATATAAATTTGCAAACACAACACATTCTGATTTGTTGATTTATGCAAAGTGTGCCCAAGAGTAGCAATAAAAATGGTTTTCAATAAATGACCACAGCTCAGACTAGCTTATCCTTATTCTCTTTAATTAAAACAAAGAAAAAAAATGGAAACACATGAGCAGTCAGGGAATCCATAAATAACGATTTCCAGCAAAGCTCAGGCTCTGAACATCATTCCCGAGTTAACTTCTTCCTTTTTTTTTGTCCTTTTTACAAAAACAGTGTCTCACCATCACATCTAAACTCATTCAACCCTCATTGTTCCAACACGTTCCTAACCCCAACCTGTTTTCTTTGCTGCAATAGTGTTTATGGTGATCACACAACATACAGAGCAAAGCTGCAGAATGCTGCACGTGGCACACAAGCAGAGAATCTGCAGTCTTGCTCCGTGGTGCGTTTCAACACCAGTCACGAGCGCCTACTCCTGGTAGGTGACGCCAACACTTATTCCAGCTCCAGCTTCTTCTTCTTTTCAAGTATCTGAGAATCACAGTAGCTATAATCACCATAAACAAGACTGTCAGACCATACATTGTTTCCATGGCACTGGGCCAAAAAAAATTGTTGTGCTGCAAGTGAATTTTAACAGGAATCTTGAAATTTATATCTTATATTTGATTTTTAAATAGCACTCCATTTGCTGTAGAAAAAAGGCTAACAAAATTAGTCTGGCTGAATTGGCCCCAGAGTTAGATTTGTCCAAAAAAAAGGAAAAAATAAAGAAGATAAATTAATAATTTACTACATCAATTTATCTCTTTCATAACCATTACCTGGCTTTACTGATGCCAAATATAATATGAAAGCTAAGGACCATTTTCAGGAGCTTGGACAAGTTGGAAACCTCCAGACATGTAAAGTACAAGGTTGTTATGATCTAATTCTTTATATACTGACAGGTGCAGATGAAACTGAACTGGCTCTGGACTCTCGTGTTTTCCGTGTCGGTATGGTGACGACACAGCATGAAATTCCGACTGTGGCTTCTGGCAGCTCATCATCCTCAGTCCATTCATTGAGGTCAGGGTTGTAAACCTGAATGCATTTCTTGTACTTCTTCTCGCCCTCGTTCCAGCCACCGAGGAGATAGATCTTGCTATTCAAAATGGAAATCCCTGCTGTGCTCACCCCCGTGTGAAGAGGTGCGCAGTAGCTCCACTGCCCACTATGAGGGTTGTAAGATTCGACAGCAAGGACGTCCACCCTCTCCCCGCGCCCTCCTAGCTGGCTTCCGCCGATCACATAGGCGCGGTCTCCCACAGTGGCGGCACAGTGCCAGCCTCGAGGCGTGCTCAGACTGCTCTTATCCTGCCAGGTGTCAGTGGAGGGGTCGTAAGAGCACACAGACCTGGAGTAGGCGTTATTAATGTAACCTCCAGATACGAGTATTTTTCCGTCGATCACGGAGCTGCCGTGGCAGCAGCGGGGGACCTCCATGGGTGCTTTCATCTGCCACTGGTTGGAGGAAGGCACGTAGCACTCCACGGAGGCCTGCACACCGTCAGCATTTCGCCCTCCGATGGCAAACAAGAGGCCATTGAATGTGTTGAGGCTGAAGTGGGTGCGCCTCTGGATCATGTTGCTCAAGTGAATCCAAGCATTGAACCGGGAGTCATACCTAAGGAATGCAAAAGGGATTATTTTTATGCTACACATACACTAACTAAAATGACAGATGGTGGGCTTACCTGTCTTAGTTCTTACCTGCAGAAGTTGCTCACGGCATGTTTTGCCTGGTTTCTTGCATCATTCTGGTCCTCACCCCCCGCAACATACAGGAATCCGTCCAGGACTGCAACACACTGATTGAAGCTCTTTGCTGGCATCTCCGTCAGCTTATTCCACACATTATCTGAATCTCTGTAGAGAACGTCTTTGCTGAGAGATTTCTCTGTCAAGGCAGGGCGTCCGCCAACTGTGAGAATCACTTTGAGACCACCACGTACTTTTGTTCTGCGTGACTGGAGGATGTTCTGTTGGTACGGAAGCAGATGGTAATTCATAGCATCGACGAGGAGGCGGTGGCACTCGGGGTCCTGCATCATTCTTGGCACACCTTGGACATGATTCACCAGGTCTTGGGGAGTGATAGTGCCAAACCTGATGAGAGTTAGCAGATCTGCCGCATACTTTAACCTCTTCTCATCAAAGTCCAGCCATTTCATGGCAATCTGGAAGGCTGTAACTTCAGAAGGTAGCTGCAGGGAATCATCTGACAGAAATTCGCTGATCTGCTCATAGGTTAGCTTCAGGAACTGCTCCATCTCAGAAAACTCAATGAAGTTCTCTCTCATGAACTTCTGAGTTGCTTCCTTGGTTTCTTTGAGGTCGTAGGCATCAGCGATATTGGCTACGTACATGCAATTCTCCACACTGAGCTCCTGCATGAGGAAGTCACTGCACATCTTCACTAAGGTGCCAATCTGCAGCAGCATGGCTGCAGCAATAGTGCTGCCAATGCTGTAGAGTGACAGAGTGAGCTTTCCCGAGTATGCGTACGTAATTGCAGTAGCGAGGCCAACCGGTGAGAGGTCGTTCAGGTCTATCTTCTGGAGGGTCGAGTCCTTCTTCAAGATGTTTCTAATGTACTCACTGCAAGAGGCCATGACAACTTTGTGCACATCAAATGACTTTGATTTGGTGGCGACTGTTAGATCACAGAGGAAGCTTTCGTTTCTCATGGTGCTCAGACCTTCAAGGAGGTTCGGGGCATACACAGAATCAGTGACTTCAGTCGAAATGCAGCTAAAGCCATTTCCGCCTTCAAGCAGAGTGTTCAGCCCGTTAATCTTGTTGATGGGGCTGTTCTCAACCATCAGGGCCATATCATTTATGTCTCCCTTGCTCTTTTTGGTTGCCTTGTTCTTTTTGGGTGCCATGGTTTTAGCAGCAGAACACAGCCCGGACCTTCTGAAAAATGAGCACATAAATGTTAGCTTTTTTAGTCTATTTCAACTTGAATGGATAAAAAAGTGTTTTATGAGCGAACTAGATAAAACCAGCTGCAGATAAAGTGCGACAAATGCAACTTGTGACAGAAATTAATTTTTCTGGGTTATCTTATTGATGAAAGCAACTCATTTTAAGCAGTGGGGACAGGGGCAGCAAAAGACACAGCTACCCAAGCTAATAGGTAAAATAACTGGGTAAAAAAGAGCACCCGAGAAAGCAACTGAAGAAAGTGTTCAGCTCTTTGTGAAAGACCATAAGGACAAATAGTTATAGACATTCAAAGACTTTAAGGAAGATTCAGATAACCCTCAGAGAAATTCCTGCACAAAAGGGACAGGACGGAGGCTAAAATGAACTGAGGCAAAGCAGAAAAACTGATTGTTAAAGATTTGAAATTCTGTTTAGAACTCATTGGTGCCCCGTCCCCAGGGCTAAAGAAGAAAAGGGAAAATCTAGCTTACTGTCACAGTGTGGGGTACGAGAGCCAGCATGTGTGAGGACATGAGGGTTCAGGAGGTGCACATGGCACCCTTTATCCTGAAAATCACATAGTCAGGCTTTTAGGGCAACATATATTGCCATCCAGCCAACTTGTCTTTTGGTAAGAACCTTGCTTATTTTAACAAGACCATAATGAACTGCACTGAGCTCACCATACCCTGTGTGAACACTGAAAATGAGCTTATATTTTTCAATGAACAATAAAGTTTTTACAGTTTTAAAATGTGATGTGTTGTCCTCATTGTATCATCAATGAGCGAATAATTGCTATCTGTTTTGTATTTATATTTTATATTATCTTATTATATTTCTAATTTATATTAATCATTTTCTTGTCAAATATGTAAGATGTCTCCACCTTCAATGTTGGTTTTGTTTTGGAACTGTTCAGATTTCTTTTGGCAGATTTGAAAACGTGTGCTACCAGGTGAGCCAGGAGTGTTTAAGTGCATCAGCATGCTCCCTCTTTGCATCTGTCACAATTTATCAGCAGCATGTCCAGGAATAGCAACACTGGCCGGCTCACCCATGACGTTCCTTTTATAGACTTTGAGACATGAACAGCAGGCCTAATGTCCTCTGACTGTTTGCTTGTTCTTTTCTTTTTTGACACTTTTCTTTCATAAATTGTTTCAAGTTTGTCTTAAAGTCTACAATGACGACCGTATACAAGACAAAACACTATCAGAAACGTCATTGCTGGCATTATTTACCACAGGCCTAGCAGACACAGATAGTTCTTTCTCCCATGCCTATGTTTGAAAAATGAAATTACAAGTTCTATTCATCAGACATTTTTGATATTTTGAAGCACAATATTTGGAACGAGAAAGCAGATTTTCTGTTCTGTAAAAGCTTACAAATGCTGATGTACGAGCTTCCTCTGACTGCCTCCTGCTTTGTTATAATGCCAAACAATCAAGCTTTAGAAACTTACCTAAAAAATGAAGTTGAGGCCGGTGAAGAGGGAGCTTGCACCTCCAGTTACTGGAGCAGGAGAGAGACCAGCCGTCACCCCCGTGGAAAGGGATATGCAGTAAACTCCTCCTCCAGGGGAGTGGGTTCCAATCAAGTATTGTGCAATACCAGTGGCAGAAGACCCTCAACGTGAAAGTGTCCCACAATAGCCTGTAATCATCTGATAACAACATGCTGCCGGGTGGCTGTGTATCCTCAGTGGGATGCCATGTGTCACGTGATTAGTGCAAACAACTTTGTACAATTTTACAATAAAACTATTAAAAGTAAATATTCATTTGCAGACACGATGTCGCTGCCAAATAAAGGTTTAATTATAGAGAGGCACGTGCAAC